TTTTTTTTTTTTCAAATTTAGGAAATTTCTCTCATAAGCAAATTTTAGCATTATCCAAAATAGAGCATTATGTACTGTGAGAGAAAATGCTCTTTGCCACAGCTTTAGAAATTCCTTTAGTTTCACAGTCCTATTACTGAAAGTTTTTTGGCCAGTGGTGCCTCAGAATTCAAAGTTTTTAAATCTTTAGTTAAGAAGAAAATCCCTTTAGAAATACTAGAAAAATTTAGGGAAAGTGGAAAATCATTGTGTTCCCAGAAAAAAAAATTTTTTTTATTTTTCCCAGCTCCACTCACCTTGAAAAGGCTGCTTCTTTTCTTGAACCCCCAGTCAGAACCCACTTCTGTTTTTTTCCTTTTCCATTTTCTCTTTCAATTCCTAGCTTCATGTTTCCATGTTCTTCCATCAAGAATTCTCTCACTTTCAGCTCCAATTCCCCTCTGGTTTTTTAACTTTACCCATTTTTCTGGTTCAACATTACATCTGCAGTGGGTTGGGTGATGGACTCTGAGTTTTCACCCCATAAATCCTTTTCCTGACATGTACACTTAGGGCGAGAAGACCAAGTAACATATTGAGGTGGGTTGAGTTGACCTGCCCACAGTGCTGACAGGTACTGCCAGCCTCCTGACCGTGCTTGCACCTTGCATGCTCAGGATAGGGCGTCTACTAGGAACCCCAGTGGGGACTCAGCACCTGTCATCAAAGAAGGGGCAAGAGGCGTGTTTGGTGGATTGGAGTGTTACAAAAGGTGTTGTACCCCAAGTTAAGCTTCTTCAGTATTCATTAATACTGAATCAAAAAAGATCTCCAATGGTTTCATTTCTCATAAGGGAGAAATTTATGTACCCTATAATTAAAGGAATTTAAAGTAATTGTGCACAATGCTATGCTATACATGCAAGATACCTCTAAGGGAGTAGCAGCTTATCCCCTCTGTTGTTCTCTTTTTATAATTCATACCTGGCTTTACTATAAAGTTTGTTTATCAAGGCCTTCTAGGTTATCTGACTCATGTTGGGCAATGTATTTGAATGCTTGTTTCTCTCATTAATACTGCCTCTTCTTTTGTCTGCTCTCTGTCAAGGGGAGGGCCCCATATTGACAGCCCAGTACAACTGCCAGGGCTGCAAGCGGCCGATATCAACTGAAGACTCTGGTGTGCTTAGTGTCCTGAATCACGCCATCCTACATTTCAACAACCACAGTGCTCATTCCCACCTCTTTGCTCTTAAAAAAGTAAAAAGTGCTTATAGACAGGTTTGTTTTTTAATTTTCATTTTGCCCAGTATTGTTAGATTTGTATGAATAGAATTTCATCAGGTAAGCTGTTGGCTGAACAAAAACAACTGGATTCCACAGCTGGAGGGGAGGGCTCTTCTGCATCCACCTGTGATTAAAAAGCGGCAGTCGATGTCCGCGTCAAAGGGCAGGAAACTGCAGCATGGGAAGGCTTCCTGGTGGCGCCTCAGGCTCCTGCTTGCAGATTTCTTTGCATGAAAGGGTGTCCAGCATGAGAAGTTCCTGCCAGAGATGGTGAGAGAAGCCATTGGGCCTGAAGGCTTTAAGGAAACTGTAACACCACCGAGCTCTCAAGAGACAAGCATGGCTCCGATATATTAACTTGTTCCTTAAAAGCTGGCACGGCTGTCCAGGCACCCTCTAAATTAGTTTCTGTATTACTGGGTATTGGCAGGCAAGCAAGTATCTATAAATCATCCTACCATTGTCTCAGACCACGAAGCCTTGGCTGACAATTGGCTGGATCCCTTGTGGTTCAACTTCTGATCATGGTGCCTCGCTTTGGTGGGCAACGTTCCTGCTTTTGCTTCCCCTTCTAACTCGCCTTCCTGAAGGACAAACGAGCTGCTCACTTATGCCCATATCCAGCTGTGAGAGCAGGACTTGCCCACACTAACCAGGGGAAATGTTAGTGCCGGCTAGTCCAAGGACCTGAGGACCTCAAGGTTACTTGAGCTCCAAGTTTCCTTAACCTGTCCAGTGCAGCATCATTAATATTGCATGAAATGCAATAGAAAATGTTTTTCTACATCCTGGCAATGGGAATATTACTAAGATTCCCCTAGTAACACCATCTACATATTGCTTTTCATTTTCAGATGTGTACAGTGTACATGAGAGTGTGTGCATTATGATTAGGGGTGTGCTGATATTTGTTTAGTGATAACTTTTGTCTATTAATAATTACAGTTGCTATTTCTTGAGTGTTTATCACATGCCAGGCAGTATTCTTAATTCCTCATAACATTGTGAATAATGTTTAAATTGCCCTTTAAATATTTGATCCAAAATTGTTTCAGGTGGTAGTTGGATGGAACTTTGACATTTCTTACTCAATTATGCAAACTAATTGTTCCAAGGCGGACATTCCAGTATTAACTCCAGAATGCCAGATCCTTTCAAATGGTGTAAGTAAACAAACATCTAATTATAATCTCTTAAGCTTCTGTGTCCAGGTTTCACAGGTGTGGGGACTCTCAGCTGTGTTAGATCTCTGCCCTTCAAATGTTAAGTGACATTCTGTTCCCTTGGGAAGGCATAAGCTCACATCACTGGTCCATATGCCCTTATGTTTGTGGTCAAGGAATCTGCACTTCAAGCAATAAGTATTTGCAGAGATAACCAGGGGCTGGGAATAGCGTGAAGTAAAGCCTGGTCCCTGTATGCTCTGTGCTCTGTCTCTCTGGTGTTCCAGACACCCATTCAAGGCAGCTTCTCTGCTGGTTGTCTCACCTTCCCTCCCCTCTTTGTCTTTAATAAACACACTATGATTTATAATTGGTTGATTTTTGGTTGATTTTTAATATGTAAAATACATATATAGAGAAAAATATAAATAAATAAATGCACTGAGTCTCCATCCCTAGTGACCCTTACTGTATGAGATCTTGTTATTTGAACTAAAATATGTTAACATAGGTGGCAGTAGTGAATGTATATTAAGAAGGCTAACGCTTAAACTTCCCTAGGGTATTTGCATTTTAGCAAAAGATTAAAAGTAAAAGATTGTTGCAAAGCCTTTAATCTATCAATATAATTTCACCTAAAATTCTCTTAGATGTAAAAAAAAAAAAAGCAAGATCCTAATTTCAGTGTTGTTATTATTAGGAAAACACTGGAAACAAATAATTTTCAATAGTATGGCGTAACTAAGTAAATTACAGTATATCCACAAAACAGAAGATGATGCAACCTTCAAAAATTAAGTTGAAGAGTTTGATTAATTAATCAAGCAATCAAAAAATTAAAATTTTTTTGGGTAACATCGTAAAATGGTTAAACAGAAATAGTTTCACATAAAACTATATACAAAAAGTTGATACCAAACGCTGGCCTCAGTTTCCCTCAACCAATAAAGGAAATAGTTTGAGGAGAAAGAAAACAGCTTAACTTGTTAGCAACTGAGGAGGACGCCAGACTCTGTCTGAAAGACCAGGGTCCTGCTTTTTGGCAGATGGCAAGGTTACTTAAAAAGAGGGGAAAGAGGGGAGGTGAATAGGGTCTGTAAAGGAGAGGGGGAAATTTCATGAAAGTCCTTTTGATGCACAAATACGGTCAGGTGGGCCCAAGCTTGCTTTGTCAACAACTGCTGTTTAACTCTCTTTTCCTTGGAATGCAAGAAGATAAACCTGTAAATGCAACAGATGGGAATCCTTATTCTCATGGTGCAGGCAGAGAGACCTGTCCTGTTTCATTGCATCAGTCATTAAAATATATCAAGTGGGGCCTTCCCCAGTGGAGCAGGGGTTAAAGCGCAACACTGCAAAGCTAGAGGCAGGCACTTCAGTGCAAGTTCAGTCCTGGGCTAGGGGCCGACCCACATTGGAGTGGCAGACCTCTCCTGTCACCTGCTGCCCCCCTCAGCAGTGTACATCAGTTATCTGCCTGTTCTGCTCCCCACTCTGTCTAGTGAATACCCTCCAAGCCCCTGCACCTCTGGCCTATACCCCAGTTCTGTATGCAAAAATAAAATAAATCTTAAAAAATATATCTATAAATGGGATAAAGCAGAATGATTTGGGAAATAGTATTCATATTATAAAGGCATCAGTGCTTTATCATGTCCTCAGTTATTTGCTTTTTAATTTTCATTATGGTATTACTGACCTCCAAATAGTTTTTGTTTATAAGTGACCAAATCCAACAATATTTTCCTTTTAAAGTCTTCTATTATTTGCCCACTAGTCACTTAACTTTTCTTCCTGTTTGTCAATAGTAATAGTTTCCAAGCCTACCTGGAATTAATTTTGTTTGCGGTATCGAAACTGATTATTTTTTTCTAAGAGAATAACCAGATATCCAGCCTGTTTTACATTAAAATTGTCCATAAAACTCTCCTACCACAATTATATTTATCCATTTCAATTCATATAACTTATATTTTCTACTTTATTTTAATTCCACACTTCTTTATTCTTTGAAAAGAATAAACTATCCATTTTACTATCTTTATGAAACTTTTGCTACTTGAATTTTATTATTCCCAATATTAATAATACTCTGCCCCTTTTACTTTTGTTTGTATTTGCTTTAAGCTTCCTTTATGCTATTATAAAATAGTATTCTTAATTTTAAGGTATTTTTACGCGCATATTTTTATTTTATTGATATGTAATTGTTCACATAATTATAATTTGGGGAGTACAAGTTGACACCTCACTTGCCACCAAGTCTCCTGTCCGATGCCCAAACCCCTTCCCATCTTTTTTTTTTTTTTTTTTAAGATTTATTTATTTGTGCATACAGAACCAGTACAGGCCAGAGGCTCAGGGGCGGCGAGAGGGTTCACCAGAGACAGAGTGGGGAGCAGGACAGGCAGATCGACGAAGTACACTGCTGAGGGGAGCAGCGGGCCGGTCAGGAGAGGTCTGCCACGCCATGTGGTCACCTCCAGGGCAAGCGGGAATCAAACTCATGCGGAAGCGGCTTTAGATTCTCAGTGCTGTGCTTTAACCCGCTGCGCCACCAGGGAGGGCCCCCTTCCCGTCTTTTAATTCCTTTTGCTTCTCCTCCCCCTCTCTAGTAGCCAGTACATGTTTCACAGAGCCTAAGAATGAGTTTGTTGTACTTCATCCTTTTTTTCTCTGTCTAAATTCTGAAAGTGAGTGAAACCATCAGAAAACTTTCACTTTCTGACTTGCTAACACTTGAATTGCCTCAAGATTCATCCATTTTGTACCAAAACTTGTACTTTCAGGGATCATTTCTATTCTTTGTAACAAGCTATTTTTCTTAATGGTATAAAAAATTGATTTTTGTTAAACATGTATCTATCTAAGCATACAGAACTGGGATACAAGCCAGAAGTACAGGGGCAGTGAGAGGATTCACCAGAGTAGGAGTGGAGAGCAGAACAGGTTGATTGATGAAGTACACTGCTGAGGGGAGCAGTGGGCTTCTCAGGAGAAGTCTACTATGCCGTGTGGCTCACCTCTGGGGCGAGGAGGGCAGTGGGGGATTGAACTCTCTCTGAAGTGGCTTTAACTTCTTAGTGCTGTGCTTTAACCCACTGTGCTACCAGGGAGGGCCCCCCCCCCAAAATGATTTTTTTAAAACTTATCTGAAAGTCTTTGCCCCTAAATGAAAATGTTATCATTTACTTAGATGGTTGTATTTCTATAATACATTAGATTTTCTTGTCATCTTCTTTCATATTTCTGTGTATAGGTGTAAGAGTTGATTATTGTTTTTGATGCTATTACATAACTGTTTCTTATTTTTTTAATTAAACAGTTTTGTTTTCTATGCAGAGATATGTAAAATTAATCTCCTACTCATAAATTCATTTCATAACTTGTATAAAGTTTCATAACAACATTTTTAAGTTATACCCTTGTATTCTTTTTAAAACCAGGATCTTGTTGAATGCAGAGATAACGCCTACATGGACCTTTCAGAAAGAGTTGCTACCCTCACACAGAATTGTGAAATTTTTCCAGGTATGAGAAAACATACATTGGTGCTTGAATAGTGTGCACTGACCCACACCACTGTCTGGTCATGTCATAGAAGGGGACACTGGTCCCCCTGCTAGACCACAAAGTCTATGCAGTCTCAGAGCCTTGCTGAGGACACTGTGCCTCATCTCTGCCCTGCTAACAACACTGTACCCCATTCCACATGGGGAATGTTCTGTTCTCTGAGCCAGCTAGGCCTCCTTGTTTACCAGATGTCCCTATGCCCCGTGAAGTTCGGTGAAGTAAAGCTGACCACATTTTTAACCACTCAGAATAAAATCCTCTCAATTAAAGATTTTTTTTCTCTCTTTCCATGTTATAATTGGGAAGATGGTTTAGTTTATGATCAAGTCACTATTTCTCTACCAAGAGTTGGTTTTTATCCCACCTGAAAGAGAGTTCTATGGACCCCACAGTAAGGAGCATTCCTGAAACTGCCAGTTTGTTTGGGTTACAGGGCTTACAATCTTCCCATCAGAGTCATCCTTTTAAATTAAGCATTGTTTTTGACAGTCTCCAATAAAAATATATAAAGTATAAAAAGCACAGCATTTTGATTGAGGCTTTAAGAGCTTCTGATTGGCTGACTCCCTTAGTACACTCGGCTCAGAGGAGAGGGAAAAGAGGAAAGGCAGAAGGCAGAGACCACAAAGTCAGTCTCCCTACTCACACACTGGACAGCCACATGACCCTCTGTAAATGGATGTTGGATCATGGATGGGATGGGCCCAAGGCCAGAGTGCTTCTTCTGTGTACCCACTTACTTAAAAGCCTGATTCTTTCAGCAATGAAATCTGATCCCAAGTTGTGCAAAGGCTGTCCCAAAGAGATCCCTGTCAATAGCTCAGAATTGAAAGAGGTTTTGTCTCATTCCATCAAAAAGCTGAATCAAGAAAATAATGGAACTTTCTACTTCAAGATTGACAGTGTGAATAAAGCCACAGTCCAGGTCTGTAAATTATACTATAAAAGCAGTAATATTTGAGTCTGTAGATAAATTGCTTACTAATTTTGTCACTGATCTTGGTTCTGGGCTGGGAAATAATATATCCAATGAATGAAATGTTAAATATTTGAAGTTCACATCACAACCTCACTGCAAGCTTGGTGTGTGGTCCTGAGCAAGACACTCAGAATAGTGTCTCCATTTTCTACCTGTAAAGTCTGATCAAATAAGATAATATGTGGTCATGCCTTTTTAAACTCTCAAGTGTTATATAAGTACTAGTAGCTGCTAGATGATCAATCATATTCAGGGCTAAAAAAAAGGAAGATTTATGCCTTTCTTGATTCATCTCTCATTGTAACTTTCTTAGAACCTTGAGCTCAGTCACAACAGTGAGTTGCTATTACCCAGACTCTTCACATTTGCATATCCCTGTCATTTTCCCCAACCCCCTGTCTGGGGTCAGCTCTGGGTGTCCTCTGTCTTCCACACCTGTCAGCAGAGGATGAGGAGAGCTCTGGGCTGGGGCTCAGCACACCCCATTATCCCTTATCAACTGCTCCCATCCTGGGCCCTGGACTGGCCTCACTCAGCTTTTGTGGCCCCAACTGTGGTGGGATTAGTGGAGCCCAAGTCCCTTCCAACTCCAACAGCCTAGTGCAATTGTGGACAGGTTGTTGATATAGATCCTCAAACTTGGTTTCCTTAAGTACTAGCTTAAAAAGAAGTCATCAAAATAGAATCCCATTAGAGCAAACTGACACAATCTTTATAATCTGAACAAACAAAAAAATTATATTAATAAAAAAAATTACTAAAAAATGTTCATGCTTCTGACTCAGGATTTCTGGAATTCTAAAATAGGAGTTTTTATCTACTATGATATTGATTGTGGAAAAACATTATCTGTCAAAATGATCAATAACATAGAAATGGTCAGATAGTCTGGCATAACCTTATCATGTACCATCAGGAAGCAATTTTGTAGTAGTAACTCTAGGAAGCAATTTTTTTGTTGTTGTTAATGAAAATTATTTTATTTCTCTATGCTAAACTTACAGTTTCCTTTTCCTCCTCTGATTCCCAGTGTTCTGGGATTTTTGCCCTAGAACCTTAGAACTGTTGAACTTATTCCTTCTAGGAAGCAATTTTTAAGTAACACTGTGAGTCATTCTCAGTAGGGGAATTGTCTTACGTTAAAAGATGCAGTGACATAAAGAGGTCATAAAATCAGATGTACCTTGTGTCATTGTGTTATAAAGAATGAAAGAAATGCCTCTGACTATTCACGTGATGATTTTTAGGGGCGGCACAGTGGACAGTTTTTTTATCTTGCTAGTTTCCTGTATTAGTTCTATACTTGGGGGGAAAAATCAAACTGTGCTAAAATAAATCAAAACTGACACTTTACTCTCTCTACTACTCAGGCTCTTAATTCTGTCCTGAACACAACCCCTCCCTGATTTCTCAGGCACATGACCCACAAGAATTTATTTTAAGGGAAACCCAATCCATGCTACCTTTTTATGTGTCACACTATTTCTTCCCTCTTTGTGTTCCTGCTTTCTTGTAAATTTCTTTTATTCTTAGTGATAACAGAATAGTCCAAAACTATGCCATAAATTGAATGTCAGAGTTCTGTTCTTGAAAGTTCTGTTTCTGAGTTCTGTTCTAGCATGAATATCTAGTCCTCTTAGAAGTTATAGCTCTCCTTGTACATTAACTAATTAACATTCTAGAATGTGTGTGTGCCAATTTATGTTAACGATGAACAACAACACATAATGTGTTTTAAAGGAAAATTATATCCCATCAGTGGCTAAATCAAAGAGAAAAACTGAGAGGGAAGATGTTGTGGTTTGACAAAACAAAAAAATGGGAATGTACAATATAACTACACTAACTAACTTCACTCTACAGCTTATTTTCCAATAATGAGCAGACTCCAGGTCACAGATGTATGTGATATACTCCTTTACATAGCTGCAAGTCTCTCTCTCCCTCCCTTCCTCCCCCCTCTCTGTATCTCTCTCCTCCGCACCCCCTTCTCCCCCCCCACAAACTTAAATCCTGAATTAAGTTTCAATAACTTGGTGTAGAATTTGGTAATGTTAGTTAACTTTTAAATAATTTCAAGACATTTTATCAAGTGCCTTTTCAAGTATGCAAGAGATACAGGAATAGCATTATTAAATGTTGAAAATTCACAATTGTGATTTTGTTAAAGTATTTTTTAAAACTATACATTTTTTTACAATAAATAAATTGTGTGCTTCTTCAATACCCTCCAAAAAAGAAGAAAAGGAATTGCTCCACATAGCTTAATGGAAAGCTGCACTGTATAATGAGTTAAAGTAATGAAAACAGTTTTCTAATATAAAAAAACATGAAGAGAAGCAAAACTGAAAACTTCTTGAAGGTTTTTCCTAATCGTGTAATTAATTAACATAATATCCACAGTGAGAGTTCTCTGATTCAGTATTTAGCAAGAATAGTCATATCTAGAGAAAATGTTTTAAGTTTTTCTTCCTTTTCCTTTTAGAATCCAGTACAACTTGAACCTTGAATCATCAGTGAATTTTGCAGTTGTTGAACAATGAACCTCAAAAAATTATAAACATTACATCCTGCTTTTTTTTCTCATTAGGAAAAGAAATAGGACCAGCCAATAGTAAAATATTTTGCACCTGCATTATAAACCAGAAGTTTTGTTGTCAGGCATTTGAATGATTTGTTACAGCTCTCACATAGCATGTGGTTCAGCTGTCAATATTCTCCTTTTAGTCCTTAAAACAAAAGCAGATGTTTGAGACAACTTTATTAAGTTGGATTCCTACTTTATGCTAATTAATTTTCCAGGTGGTGAGTGGAACGAAATACTATATAGAATTCACAGCCAAGGAGACCACATGTTCCAAGGAAAGTAATATAGAGATCACAAGTAGTTGCGAGGTCAAAGAATCTGGGGTAAGCAGACATGCAATCGTCTACTTATTGCCCGGAAGCTAATTTGATGTTTTAAACTTGCTTAAGTGGTTCATGAATAACAGTGTTTTTCTCTTTCTGCTTCTGTTTTCTTGACAGCAAGTGCTAATCTGTGATTCTAGCATTCATAGTGTACCTTGGACAGGCAGCACAGAATCTACTGTCAACTGTGTCCCAAAGACAATGGTATGTTTCTGATTCTAGTCAGCTTGGGGTCAATTTGGCTCGTTTGCAAAAGTCATATTTGAGGGTTTAACATGAACTATTAATGAAATGAATTGGGTGATAACTTTTTGAAATGGGAAGAAATCTCATTTTTCTCTGCTTACTCTCTTTTTTGTGGCTGGAAATGAGGACAGCAGTCCTCTTAATATGCCCAACACATTGCCAGTGTCCATGGCGAGGTAGATTCTCTCCGAGGCAGTGCTGTGGGTGCTAACACTAGCTGCACACCTGCCAGGGGGGTCTGAGGTGAGGCGCGGGGCTCCCCTGCCCTCTGTTTCTATCCAGGAGCTTGGGGAATTGCAGGTCCCAGCCCCATGCTGCAGCTACTGAGTCAAAACCATCCCCAGGGGATCATGTCCATGTTCAAGTATAAAAAGAATTAGTCTGTATCATCTTTTATTTTTTTAAATGACTCCTGGGAGGTAAGTAATACTTTCTCTATTCTCCAGATAAGATCTGAGCTCCCAAAGTAAATAATAGCATTGTCCAGTTTTCCTTAGACCTAGGCACTAGACTAAAGATTTCAAATACATTTTCCTCCTGACAACTCTACAAGGAAGATGCTGTTATTATTAAAACTGAAGTTAGTGGTGCTTGTATGCACATGCAGATTAAACCAGGCTCCACCCTGTTTGTCACAAAGCCCATGACTCTAGGAGCCGACTTGTTTGACTCCAAAGACTGTGCTCTTCACACCACCGGGCACTGCCTGAATCACCACACAGGTAGTGACAGTACAGGAGGTTTCTTCCCATTTGAAAAGAAATTATGACTCAAGAGGCAATAATCCAGCTGCCTCTTTTCTGGTTTAGTTTTTTGCTATGTGGAGGTTATGTATAGTCTAACACAAGCACTGTAGTCCAAAGGCCGCAGGGCAGGCTTGCGAACATGCCTTGGTGTTCATGCCAACAAGTACTTGAGGCTATGTGATACCTACATATTCAACTCATGAAGCCAGTTGGAATCTTTCAAGATGAAAGCACTAATTTTGGTAATAGAAATTGTATCAACAAATAATGCACTACCGATTTATATTATCAGAAGCTTGGAAGTTACTCTGATATTATATATCAGGAATATTATATATAATATATATTATATATATATATATTTTCCAACATGAAATAAAGATTCTCCGGCTTGCTTTAGTGTGTTATTAAAAACAATAATTAATGGGGCCCTCCCTGGTGGTGCAGCGGGTTAAAGCGCAGCACTGCAGATCTAGCCACAGCAGGTTAGGTGCGAGTTCCATCCCTGCCCTGGAGCTGACCCACATGGGGCAGCAGACCTCTCTTATCTGGCCCACTGCTCCCCTCAGCAGTGTACTTCATCAGTCAGCCTGCTCTGCTCCCTACTGTGACTATGATGAATCCTCTCACTGCCTCTGGCCTGTACCCCAGTTCTGTATGTATAAATAAATAAATCTTTTAAAGAAAATAATAATTCTATAAATTAAAGCTAATCAAAAGAGGAAAGATATTATTCATTTCCATGCTTTCTAGTATAAAAATATAGCATTTAAAATCTGGCAAATACGGGATCCCTGTAACTGAGTTAGCATTGCCTGATCTCTGTCCCTTCTTTCTTCATTGATAGTGTGGTTTTCAGAGTAATGTATTTATCTTCATATTTCCTGTTTAGGCTGTGGTGAGGAAAAGGCCTCCAGGTTTTTCACCTTTCCGATCAGTACTAATGACGGATGAAAGAGAAGACACAACAGTAAGTGTACCCCACACTTCCATGGTACCTGTACAAGATGAAGAAAAATATTCAGAAAAAAACCAAGAACATACTCGTGGGCATGGCAGGGGCCATAAAAGTCAAATAAAATATGGCTTTGGTCATGGCCATAAACTTGAGCATGACCAAGGCCATGGGCAGATAAGGGAACATGGATTTGGTCATGGACATCATAAACAACGCGGCCGTGGCCATGGACATCAACAGCAGCCTGACCTTGGTCATGGACACCAACGGGAACTTGACTATGATCTTGAACACCAAAGGAGAAATGGTTTTGGCTATGGACATCAAAGGGGTCATGGCCTAGCCCATGGGCATAAACATGAGCATGGTCACGGCCATGGAAAACACAAAAATAAAAATAAAAGCCATGGGAAGCATAATAGTTGGAAAACAGAGCATCTGGCAGTCTCTTCCGAAGCTAGCATTACACCTTCCACACAGACACCAGGGAAGACAGAAGTGCCAACACCCACTCCTTTCCTAGCCCAGCCAGGGGTAGCAGTCACCTCTTCTGACTTCCAGGACTCAGATCTCTTTGCAGCTGTGATGCCTAACCCATCACCAGCTCCCACAGAGAGTGATGATGATTGGATTCCTAATATCCAGGTAGACCCAAATAGCTTTTCCTTTAGCCCGATATCTGATTTTCCAGAAGCAACTTCTCCCAAATGTCCTGGGCGCCCCTGGAGGCCAGTTAATACAATGAATCCAGCTGTGGAAGTGAAAGAATATGATGACTTTGATCTCTCTGATGCTTTGTATAATTAATGCTGCCATGGGTGTTTCTCTAGCACTTTATCATCCCCTTCCCTCACTGTCCAATATCCTGATATGATGTACCAAACCAGAACAGCCTAGAGAAAAGTAGTGAGACTTTCAATGGAGACACCATCAACTCTATGGACAACATAAAACTGAAAAGATTCTAAATCCTTTCTGAGTCTGCCTCACAAGTCTTCCTAAATGGCACAGAAAATGGACAAATGAATATACCTATGGTCTTTTTGCTTCTCTGATAACAAATCTGTACCTTACAACCACTGATTTTGACAATCTAAATAAACTGGCCTCCAGTCCCTGAAGACGAGAAAAAATACTGGAAGTCAAAAGATTGAATGGAGAACTTCATGGGGCAAAAAACAATAAAATCTCCAAAGGTCAAAGAAGAAAGACAGACTGGTCAGAGGGAGAAAAATGGGAGGTCAGTGAATTGTCATATGTTTCTAACATGGGCTATTTAATACCACATATTTACTCCCACTTGACAAAGCTAGTCTGATAAACCTTTTTCTCAATAAGTGTGTTTCTCATAAGTCAACAATTTCTGTTTATTCATTAACTTCATTAACTATTCTTTGCAACAAAGCTCAAACAGTTTTCTGTTTATTGCTGAGTCTAGATTGAGTAATCCTTAGTTTTCAACAGATCTGAGTTTAATGGAAAACAGAGGAAGTAATATAGAGGCAGGCTTGCTAAAAACCTCTCCTTTTTTAATAATTGATAAAGGAATATCACAAGATGTAGATACACATTGTTCAGGGACAAAATGAGGAAATGCCTCTGTCATCTTTATAATCACATCATCTTTTTTCTACTACAACAAAGATGATTTTTGCAAAAGAGATAATTTCATTGGCTTATAATGAGGAGGAGGCATATATTTCACCTGTACTGTGAAACAAGACAGGGCTTTAGACAGCTACCTTCACCTGTGTGCTGTGCTTCACTGCACATTCACTTTATTGCATGCCTCTGAGTCTCTGAGTCTTAAATCTTTTCAAATATTATCTGCACTTATAAATAAAGAACCAATGATATCGGGAAAAAAAGTCTCATCTTGTCAACTTTGATTTTCTTATACTGAATGCTGACATCAGGTTAACAGAGTTCTGCTGTATTTACAGGAGCTCCTGCGGTCCTGCGAATACCAGGTCCGTGCTCGGGGGCCAGGGGCTGAAGCAGCTCCTGAGGGTGAGGCAGCACCCCCACAACAGGCACAGTAGCCCCACCGCCCCCCTCAGCAGCCCAAGTGGACAGACAAGAAGATGGGGTGGAATTTAAATAGAGAAGAATATCATTGTATCACTCTGGTATTGAACCAAATAAAGTTCTGTCTTGATAGTCTCAGTCCTGGTTAGTTCAGTGTTTCCTTTCAACCACACCCCTCCTGCAACAGTGGAGTGATGGAGTCCCATGGCTAGCACTCTGAAGCACTCACTCTTGCTAACGAAGGGAAGAACCCCTTAGTTGGGGCTTGCTTACCACCAAGACCTTGTCATGTTGCTAAGTAAGGTTAGCAGGTCATGTTTCTATTAGCAAATGCTAGTCAGTCTCCCTTCCCTCAGCCAATAAAAGGAAACAGAGTTTGAGGAGAAGGAAAGCAGTATAATTTGTCTACAAGTGGAGGCAGGCATCAGACACATGTCTTTAAGACTACCTTCCTGTTCTTTGGCAGAGCATGGGGCATTTATCCAGTTACAAAGGAACAAGGAAGGGGGATAGGCATGGGCAAGGGTCAGGTCTCATCCTTGTGAAGCAAGAATCTGGAGGTTTTGGGGGGAGATTGAGCTTGGTGCCAGCTTGCTTTCACTATCTCCTACTGGGACTTAAAGAGACAAATATTTCCTTGACTTATCATTTGCACCAGCCTTAGGAGGACACTGTCTACCTATTTTTCTCATCTTCTTCTTGATTTCCAGCCCAAAATAGAGTAATTTATCTGATTTTATTATTGTTTTATATGATCCAAGTAATCAAAAAAAAAATTCTATGCTAATAGATCTACCAACTTCTCATTACCAGGAAAATCTATAACCTTTGAGTTAAAGAAAACAACATTATCTTTGTGATTCAGATAAAGAAGACAACAGAAAGTCAGTTTATGAAAAGTGGTAGAGATTGACTCCCCCTCCCTGCACCTCTGGCCTGTACCCCATTCTTGTATGCATAAATAAATAAATAAGGAAATAAACCATTTACTGAATGCCTATATAACCACTTACTATGCCAGATTGAGACCTTTTGTTGTGTAACTTATTTACCACAACCGCTCAAGGTCTTTGCAATATGTTTATTTTACAATGAGGAAATGGTAGTTCACAGTGCCTGGCCCAGGGTCACACAGTTAATATGCAACAGAGCTAGCATTCAAACTCAGACCTTTTGGACTCCATTATACCACAATATCATGAGGCTTTATTATTAGTGTTGTCACTACAAAAAAAATGCATCAACATGATTTTGGATTCTGACACTTAATTCAAGCCATGGTTATTTCTGGAACAGTGAGTCAATCCCATGTAGATGATAGGAAGATGCTGAAGAGATGGAGAGACCAACTTGAAAAGATAAAATGGGGCCCAAATGGGAGTTAGACCAAAGTAGGAAGTAGAGAGCCTCCCATAGTTCTTGAGCTAACATATGATAGAAGAGTTTTTAAGACCCATTCTTTGGGATAGAATTGATTAGAGTTGGAAAAACAGGCAGTATTGGAGGTCATATTCCAGAGTCCACTACTCAGCTAGGAAATAAATCCTACAGTTCTGTCTTCACTCAATCATTTGTATTTCCATGGTGAAGACTTAAAAACAAAAATCATGAGTTTCCTCTGACCTAGTACCTACTTTTCACTTTTTAAATATCTTTGTATCTCTCTCATACCCCAGCCAAAGGCATCCCCATGTTTATGGTCTTGGTTCTGGAACCACCCACCTGACCTGTTTATGCTCCTCCCCTTGACTGCAGGAATTTGCTCTTGTCTAGTCTAAACCACATTCTTCTCAATATCTGGGCCTAACACCTCAAGCAGGATGTTCCTTATTAGCTTTTTACCCCCCCTTCCATTTCCTGCTTCTAAGGCTGTTTCCAAAAAACAAAGCTGTGGCATCATCACAGTCTGCCCTGTACTCAAGCTCTACACCTGGTGCTAGTGCTCTGTGCCCTCACCTTGCAGGACAGACAGATCTCCCCAAGGTTGCTATGAGAAGACCTAATGGAGATGTTAACATCCCACTCTTCCAGAAGCCCAGCGTCTCTCCCTGTATGCAATTAGACAAGCAGAAAGTAAATGACTACCTCAAAATCTTGCAAAATTATCTAATTACCTTCAACTTTAATTTTCTAAGAGCCTCCTTTTGAACACAATTCTGTTTTTTTGCAAAACATTAATTAGAAGCACTGCCCCTATAATCACATTAGAGGCAGTGAAGAGGTTGAAAACCAGGATTCTGCAGTTAGAAAACCTATATCCAAAAGCTGGCAAATTATTTAACTTCTCAAGTGCCCTGTTTCCTTATCTGAAATATGAAGTTAATAATATACTCACCTCATAGGCGTGTTGTGAGACTTAGAAAAGAGAATTCCTTTCATTGGTATAATGTTTACCACATGGTAAGCTTTTAACAAAAGATAACTATTATTGCATTGCTAGAACATATATACATTAAAATACTTTGAAAGTCTAAATCTAGGGAATAAATTTTTTTTTTAGAAAATGAGATCTATTTTACCCAGCATACATCCTTTTGCGTTCAAATTTTGTGATTCAAATTTGATTCAACTTCTCCAAATTCTGTGATCAGGTCATATCAATTTGAATTTCAGTTCTACACATTTTTTCATGTTGGCTCTACTTTAGAATCATCTAGGGAGTTGCAGTCCATTAAATGAAAACCCTGTGTATAGTCTTGAGTGTCAGTATTTTTCAGGAATTTTCTATTAACACTGACACATCAGACATAGAACAATTGCTTTATTTCCTCTCTGTTTTCTTTCAAATTTTAATTTTTCAGTTTTATATTGTACTTTATGAACTCTTTCAAATCATTTGAAAATAGGGGAGCTATGAAACTCAAGAGAGCCAGATGGATAGATGAATGAAACGACGGATGAAAGAAAGTGGTATATGCATGAGGATTGTCAGAAAGAATGGAGAATACCAGAAAGACTGTTAAACAGGATTTAAGTTTTAAAAGTATATCAAGTGGGTATAAATGGCACTACAAAGATTAATTGAATTACTTACTGAGTATAAAAATGAAGGACAGAAATAAAAAATGACCTAAGTTGTCCAGTCTGGGTGTATAAAGAAATAGTCATTCTACTGACACTAACAAAGAACTGGCGAAACCAGTGTGCACTGTTAACTTAGCCCTTAAACTGCCACATGTACTTAAAAAGGAACTCAGACCTTTTTTTTTTTTTTTTTTTGTGTATACAGAACTGGGGTACAGGCCAGAGGCTCAGGGGCGGCGAGAGGCTTCACCAGAGACAGAGTGGGGAGCAAAACAGGCAGATTGACTAGTACACTGCTGAGGGGAGCAGCGGGCGGGTCAGGAGAGGTCTACCACACCATGTGGTCACCTCCTGGGCAGGCGGGAATCGAACTCATGCTGCAGTGGCTTTAGCTTCTCAGTGCTGCGCTTTAACCCGCTGCACCACCAGGGAGGGCCGGAACTCAGACTTTTTAAGATAAGAAGGCAGAAAGAAGCAAACTTTGTTCAAGAAAGTAAAGAACAGTTTATTTAAAGGAAGAAAGCAAGGACTCAGGTGTGCTATAAGTGGAAGGGGCAAAGGAGATGTTACCACTGCTACTTAGGGGTATTTAAACCTGTTTATTCTAAAATGTCATCATCTCTTTGTCATGGACTCTCTCTCCCACCGGCAAGATGTACCCACTTTCCCAGCTCTTACCTTAGAGGGTCTCCTTTCCCTCCCCTGTCCAAGGTCTCTTAAAATTTGCTGCCCCCATTAGCCCTCCAGGATTTCTGACCTCATTGCTGGGGTATGTTTTGGTTAGCACCTCTTTGAACTTACTGGCTTTATCTCAGAAGCCTCTTTCAATCTCCCCAGTTATTGTTCTGAAGATGCCTACTTGAAACCCTAACTTGCCCTAGCACTGGGAGCTAGTTGAGGTTTCTAGAAGCTCATAAAGAATCAGTCTGACCTAAAATGAACATAATTTAAGATATTAAGATAAACACCAAGGAACCTCCCTGGTGGCACAAGGGATTAAGTCTCAGCGCTACAAAGCTATCTGCAGTCACTGCTCACAAGTTCAGGAGCCATGGTCACGGGGCTAACCCAGCAGCTGACCTCCCGTGTCTCGCCCGCTGCTCCCCTCAGCAGTACCTTTCAGTCCATCAACCTGTTCTACTCCCCTCTCAGTCTCTGGTGAATGCTCTCACCCTCTCTGTACTTCTGGCCTACACCTTAGCTCTTGTATGCATAAATACATACATATGTTGTGCCCAGATTTCAAATCCCACAAGCCATCAGAGAGGCGATCCGATGCAAAGGCATGAGGGTTTTTATTGGCAAGCTCGAGCCTGGACTCCTCCAACACAGCAGTGGTGGCCAAGAGCCCAGAGCATCCGTTACACAGGGTTTTTGAAGTTTCCATTATGCTGATTTACAATACTCAGATTGGTTGAGGGGATCACCTTATGGTGGGCTTCAGCATTAGGTTTAGCTGAGGGCATCACCTTATGGTGGGCTACAGTACTTGGATTGGTTAAGGTGATGAGATCTCATTATGCTAACTCACAATACTCAGATTGGTTGGGGAAGATCACCTTACGGTGGGCTACAGTACTTGGATTGGCTGAGGTGATCACCATGTGGTGGGTTGACACTTGATTAGTCATGGCCAAGTGGTCCAGGGGGTGGGGGTGGGGGGCTTTCTCTCCAAAGTTTCAGGAAACTGAGACCTTAGGCCTGGTCTGGATCTGAAGCCTATCATGGTAGAGGCTTATGTTCTTTCACATACATACATAAACACATAAACAAATAAATGAACAAATGAATGAATATATAAATAAACAAGTCTTTAAAAAAGATAAACACCAATATATAAATAAAGAGTGAAACTACAAAATCCCACATCAAATCAGTTAATTTACTCTTCAGCACCAGCTGTATAAACAGGGGCATAAGGACCAGGGCTGTGGAGGACATGACTGACCCTGATTACAGGACTCCCTCAACAGAACCGGAAGGAAAGAAATTATTCTCTGAAATTAATCTAAATTTCTGTTTCTAGTGCTGAACTTAGAAACCCAAATCTAGCTGCCTAGGGCCCTCCCTGGTGGCACAACCTGTTAAAGCACC